CGCAAGAAAAATTATAAAACCCCAAAGAAGAAAATCGTTACCGACTGAACCAACTTTATTAAAAGATATTAATATTCCGGATAGACTTCGAAATACTTTTAATGATGATGCTTTTTTATTACGTGAATCGAAAGTTGGAGACGACATAATTTCAATATTTTCAACCAGGTTTGAATTAGAAAAACTTATAAGAGCTAATTTTTGGATTATGGACGGGACATTCAAAATAGTTCCAAATATGTTTTTACAAATGTGTACAATTCACGCTCCTGTTGGTGGTATTAATTCTAGGATTCTACCTCTTGTTTATGTATTGATGTCGAGTAAAAATTAATTATGCTATGAACGATTATTTGAAGATTTGATTGACTTATGTGACAGTTATGGTTTTGAACTCGATCCAAAGTGTACAATTACAGATTTTGAAAAAGCAGCAATAAATGCAGTATCAAACATATTCCCTCAATGTATTCAAAAAAGTTGTTTTTTCCATTTAGGACAAAATTTATGGAGAAAAATACAATCTTGTGGACTTGCTACACAGTATGGCAGTGATGAAGATTTTAGTTTAAAACTACGAAATATTCCAGCACTAGCATTTTTACCACCAGAAGAAATTAAACTAGCATTTGAAATAATAAAAAATGATTTACCAACCGAAATTTCTGTATGGTTTGATGAAGTATATATAAATGGGAAAATTAGACGAACATTAAGTGACGGCACAATAAACCGATCACCACCTTTATTTCTACCTTCGTTTTGGTCAATATGTTTTAATAATGAAAATGGAATCCCTCGAACTCAGAATAAGGTAGTCTTGGCACAAAAAATGGAACATTTTGATTGGAGAAAATCACGTAGGTTGTCTACCCATCATTTCAGAATTGAAAAAAGAACAATAACATACATTAGGTAAAAATATTTTATTTATTTATATATTCATACATATATATTTATTTTATTATTTGTAGGACAAATTGAATTCATTTTGGTTGGCGAACCGAAACTTCGACAGAATTCAAAGAGTGTTTTACGCAAAAAGCGGTTAGATGCAGTTATAAATGACAAACAAAATAGATCTTTGGATGAATTTTTAAAAGGTATAGCTTATAGCATAAAATTATAAATTTATAACCTATTTTTAATTAATGTGTTTTTAAAATTTAATTATTTTAGACATTGATATTTTTAAATTTTATACTGAAAATTTTCAATTTTTCCTTATTTTTTTAATAATTACCTGAATTAATATTTTTAAGTAATATATAAAATAAGTTTTTTAATAATTGAGTTTATTATTATTGATTGTTTTGATCAATTATAATTTTGTCGGCTTATTGGCCGTCGGCCATGTAGTCTGTCTGTCCAATGGTTGTCACCTCAATGTCGTGATCCCCATTTTTCTAAATTAAAATATTTTTCAAATTTTCTATTTAAGCTTTAATAAAATAATTTTAGATTATAAAAATTATAAATTATACTCAGCAATGAAATTAAAATAATAAAATACATTTACCAGGAATTTTTAGAGGATATAAGTTTATAAATATTTTTTAAGAATAATTTTCTATAAGGAATTATTGTCTGATTATTAGGATATTAACATTATATTGAATTGTATGTATGTATTTATCTTCAACAGTAGTTTTAAAACGACAAAATTAAATTAATATTGATTGTACGAGTATCTATTATAACAGTATAATAGAATTAATTTAGATATAACAAAACGACTGTTTAAAATACGATAACTTAAAATATATGAGCTGTAAAAACTTTAATGTATTACATTTTGTTTGTAGAGAAATGGATAAAAGTATACGAGTTATATTTTAATTTACTGCAGTTTGCATGCTTCCCCAAAAATATTGTTACTTTTCAGTAATATGATTTGCCTATATCGACTACAGTGAGGGGTGACAATACAAAATATACTAGGTATACCACTTAAAACAATTTATATTATAAATATATATATATATATATATATTATAAATAGGAATTTACGTCACTCACTGATTATTAATTACTGAAAAGTTAAACTTATCTATTATACCGATGAAAATTAATCTAAATATTAAGTAAAACTATAGTTATAACATTGAAAGTACTACTCTAATGTGAACTAGGTACATCTAAACATTTTATTTTATTCTAATAGTAAATATATTATAAATAAAATATTTTATAACTAGATAATTTATCACGCTTATCATAAGCCAATTAACTTTGTGCTGTTTTTTTACATAATTATTTTCTAGATTAAAATACAAAAAACCTAATTATTTTCACGAACATTGACTACTCTTCTACTTCAATCGAATTACCTATCGCATTTTAAAATTTTTATGGATAAGTATTTATACATAAATTATAATATGATATAATGTTACCATGTGTAGGGACATTTGATATACAATGAAACCTGTTTGGGTGTTCGCTACATAAGATGAAGCCTTTAAGGAACATTATAACTATGTAAGTTTTATTTGTTTTAATTACAAATAAATTATACTTTGGAAATAGTTTGTGTACTAAATATCTTCCACTAAATATATTCAACCAATCGAAATATTGAGGTCTGTTTCTACTGTATTATGTATAATATTACATTTTGATCTGAAGAAATATAATTAGGTTTAACACATACATTATATGAACATTAAATATATATATATATTGTGCATCTTAAATCTAATTCAATGTCTTCCAATCAGAATGTAATATTATACATAATACAGTGGAAACAGATATATATGTTTTATTTTATATTCAGGAATGTTCTGGGCTTGCACCTGCTCATGCATCTCCACCATATTAAATTGTTTAGTTTTAAGCGGTTACAAAAAAAAAAAAAAGGTACGTCGTCAGGTGTATAATATATATACAATAACGTATGTATGTATGTGTAAAGATTCACTAGCTGAGTACCCCTACTGCACACACGTTTAGACATATACACACACACATTCCCCTACACCAACGCATACACAACATACACACACACACACACACACACACACACACACACACACACACACACAGACACACACACATACATAGACATATAATGTAGGTACGTACACGAAGAAACATAATTCGCTGAACGTAGTCAATAAGTTGTTTGATGCACGAGAGGGGTTTTTTAGGCGAGAAAAAAACGACCTGTTACATTATGATCGTAAATCAAATCGATTAGGGCTCCCCTTCTGACCGTATACATTATACATCTATACACCTTTGACAAAGACAAAACCAGAAACGGAGAGAATTCCGACTGTTACATTAATTCTCTCCGTGACCAACCATCTACACAGTCATCAGTATACCCAGTTATTCTACCCAATGAGTATTATTCATTATACTAATATTTATTGTAATAATATTATGTACTACATTTACGTTTACGTCGCGTTTAGCTGACCGTCGCAGTATACGTTCACATAAATTCTTCTGCCCTATATATACATAACATATTATGGAGCTCAATAATTAATTAGGCAGTTATTCGCGTTTCGCAATACTTTTGAATTTATACATTCTATCCACGTGTCGCTGCTATATTACAATGTTATATGGTACCGGTTAGTGGTCACCTTTTTCACCGATATCTGCAGTTATCTACAATTATATTTCACGTATATTAGGTACCGCAGATTAATGCGTTGTTTATTGCCTGATCATAAAATTTATCGGGTGCATATAACGATTTAGTTGTACAAAAAATGGACAAATAGATTAAAAGAGCCGCTTATTATTTCTTAACAAAAATTATTAGAATGCGAAAATTAAAATCGAAAAATTCACAATCATGGTTGTACAATTACTCAAGTACTAATAAGCACGTATCTACATTGTAGTTAAATTTCAGTACTCCGTGTCCTTCGGAGTATTTGGATTTACAATATGTATTCATTTGTAATCACCTTATATTTTGAACGACTGCGGTATTAAAAAAAAAAAAAAAAAATTGATTTTTTAACTATATGTAACACGTTTTAAAAAATATTAACGATGGACATTGTACGATTATATGCTGTTTTTCACTCATCTTATGATAATTACTTTATGCTGTTCTTACCATGTATCAAATCGGAAAAAAAGATAAACGTTATTATATAAGAAAATAGATATTATACTATATTTATTCGATTTCTCTCTTGCATTTTTTCTTTCCTTTGTACGTATATAAGTATAATTATAATTATGTAATATATATATACATTATTTATTGTATTGGAATATTTAACGTTTTGAAGTTCAATAAAAATTGTTCGTAATGCTCGTCGAGTACAGCAGAATTCAATTTTATTGTATACAACGTCTGTATAAGCATAACTTCGGTGCTAAAAATACCTAGGTACTAAAAAACAATTTGAAAACAAAATGCGACCGAAATACTAAATCGTAGGCGTTGAAAAAAATTCAGCTGCATAAAAACGTCAGATCGGTGACGAAAAAAAAAGCGATGAAATAAGCAACGCAAAACCTTATACTCCGCAGGAAAATCAGTACACATAAAAAAATATGTTACGCGCGCGCGCGTGTGTGCGTGCATAAATTAAATATTTGTATTTTATTTAATATATGGTGTCCGGGTTATAACTCGTGACTTTTCGGTCGGTTCGGAAATCAAGAAAACACCCAAACGTGCACTTCATCAACCAACCTGGCGCGTACATTATTCGTTATCATAATAATAATAATAGTATCAAAATCGTACAACAATTGCAGTAATAATAATATTTTTATTCGTTTTTTTGCTTTCTCGGTGCCTTTCTACGTACGTAACCGGTTGAACGTCGTACGTCTAACGTCCGACATCTAGCGGCGCATAAAGGTGTCGGCGACGGATCGGTCGCGCGCGCCCGTTATCTCGCGCGACAATGTGACAATAACCCGAGGACGGACGACCGCGACCGACGGTCACCGCCCCCGGAGAAGCCGACGACTGCGAGACGATGCGCGGCGGCAGTGCATCGAAGGCGGTGTGCGTTTGCGCGTGCGTAAGTCCGTTTGTTGGGCGCATTCTTTTCTACTCGGCCCGTTCCCTCCTTCGCCCCGTCGCGCCCATCAGCCGAACCGTTCGCGCTATCCTTCTCGCACGCCGCGCTCTATCCCACCGAACCGCTTAGTCAACACTCACTCGCGCTCGTTCCCTCCACCCGTTCGCTCCCACACACGCGTACGGCGCACACCCGGTCGCACGCTCGCTCTCTATCTTTCTCCCTCGCCCGCGGTTCCACAGGAGTAGGTAACGACGCGTATGGCCGCACGTTATCACGGCATCGTCGTTTCTTATCACACCGCTTTCGAGTATTCGTCAGATCAACACGGTCCGCACTCCGCAGTCCCTTTGGGCGATTACGAACGCGGTACGTACGTAATCCGACTAGTGATCGTCCGTGTACCGTCAACGGTTCGCTCACATTTTTCCAATCGACCCCGTCCGTCGATCCAACCCGGTCGGCGTTTTCGTAATCCTCGTCGGTGTTTTTAATTTTTGTTTATTTTATTTTTGTTTGTATTCCAATCGATTGTCGACCCCGGTACAGTTGTTTTTGTTGTTGCCGCCGTCGTCAAGTGTCGTTATCGTTCGCGGGTCTTCCGATTCGGTTGTGTAGTGCAGGCGTCACGTATTTCGTGTGTTCGCGGGATTACCCGATGACGGACCGCCGCACGCCCCGTCGCAGTTGCTGTTGTTGTCCCCGACTAGGTGTGAGTCTCTACCTCAAAAACCTAACTCGGTGAGATGCCATATATGGTGCTCGACGAATTTCGATTAAGCCTGAAGAAAAAACGTTATGCGTTCCACAGAGTTTACGTTCCGCACAGCTGACTTTGGCCTTTGAAAACCATTGTCGTTTCGAACGGTAACCAGTCGAACAACGGCATAACACGCGGGTTCGCATTCATTACATCATAGACGCAGTACAATCAAAGGTGAGCGTTTTTTTATTAGTGTCGTCAGCATTTGTGCTAGTGTTCTTTCAATGCTGCCCTATTCACACCGGTACTCGCTAGTGGTAATCGTGCAATGGCATACACCATTGAATGTATACCCATTAAAAGTATATTTTGATATTTCCAACAATTCCATGGCTATACTTTATTCATTGTAAATATAAACCCTTGTGGATACCCAATATGTGTTATATTTAAATATTATGATTTTATTTTGTTTCTTATTTAGGAATGAGAGAGATGGATATCGCTAAAGATGAAGATAGGATACGGAGATTACAAATTCTTGAGAAAAAAATGCGGGATCCGCGAAATGTTTCAAATGTGGATTCTTTATTGGTAAGATTATAATATTTTAATTTTATATCTACAGAAAATATCATCTTTATTCTCTTATCTTAAAACTTAGTTACTGCTTAAAAATAGTACTTAATTAATAAATAAATATGCAAAAAAAAAAAAAATAAATAAATAAATAATATTACGAGTTATATATTTCTTCTTCTTTTTCTTCTCCATCGCCTTTCTCACAACTATTTAGGGTCGGTCAACTTTGTTCTAAATCTCTGCTTGTCTCGATTTTCTACATATCCTATGCACACATCAACTGATCTTATATCATTCTCAATCTTATCCAACCATCTCTTTTTTTCGTCTTCCTCTCCTACTTTCCCTACAATGTTCATTTTCATAGCTTTTCTAAGTACTTTTGTTTCTTCTCATCCCATCATATGTCCAAACTATCTCAGTCTATTTTCTCTTGTCACTTCACTCATACATCTAAACATTCTCATTTCCTTAAAATTTTTGTAAATTGTATGACTCATATTAATTCAATATTTAATATTATAGATAGTGATCTATAATATTATTAATAAGACTCATAAACCATATTCAATATCTAGTAGATTGTTAATTATTAAAACATATACATATAACATATATGCACTTTGCATTCCTGAATTCGGACCTATATATATTCTTTGTAGTATGCTTTTATTTGATTAAAGTGTTATCATTATTAAAAATGTCATAAAAAACTAAAACTTATCTGTAATTTGTTTATTATTTTACTGTGAACTTTAAACTACATATCAGTATTGTTTTTTCATGTATACGAAATTGTCATCTATTTTATTTTTATATAATTTGAATTAGGTTATTTACCTTTATCTGATAAAATGGTAATTAATTGAAAATTGCACTTTGATCATAAATGCATAAATAATATACTTTAGTATTTGTGAAGACAGTTTAATCAGTACCTGCCAAATTGAATAATAAAATATAAATATGGAAAAGTTAGAACAACATAGAATTATAGTTGACCATGTATTAAATATATTATATATTCAATTAAAGTGTTAGTATTATTAAAAATCTTAGAAGAAACTTAAACTAATTTGGACTTTGTTTCTTATTATACTGTGAACTATAAACTACTGATCAGAATTATTTTTTCGTGCTTACAAAATTGTCACCTATTTTATTTTTCTTTAATTTTGATTAGGTTATTTACTTTTATCTGATAAAATAATAATTTGTTGAAAATTGCACTCATTATAAATGCATAAATAATATACTTCAGTGTTTGATGACAGTATAATCGGTACATGTTTAAATGTAATAATAAAAATAGATTTAGAGAAGTTTAACATAAAATTATAGTTGAATATGTATAAAATATATTCCATCTAGTGTTTAAAATTATTATAAAATCTAGTTGAAATGTAAAGTTATTTTTAAATTTTTTTTTTTTATTTGTTTTAAATGTAAATTATAGTTTTATATTTTGAATGTTATATGCATTTTAATATATATATATTTAGAAAACCCATTTTATATTATTCCTTTTTTCTATTAATAATTATATTATATTTACACTACTAGAAAGTTTTTTTTTTTTTTAAATTAATTTACAATTATATTGGTGAAATTGGTAAAAGTTGCAGTTTTGACAATATATTATATAAATCGTCTAATTTTGCTTAACATTATATTATTGAATAAGAATATATATTCTTCCATTATTTTAATTATGAATTAATTTATGTAATTTTTCCTTCATGACTTTTATACTAGATCACTTGCATGATTTGAGTAGGTAACATGTATTTTGAAAATTTTACTTACCAATTACTTTGAAATTTCTAAATTTAATGTTTTGATAATATTTACAATTGATCAGTTTTTAACTAATAATAATGGGTTTTTGTAATTTATGTAGTTCTATCTTCAAATTTTCTAGTTTCTTATAATAATTTAAAATTTTATTTTAATGTAAATTAATGTTTAAATGTTTATCTAAAATATTGATTTTTTAATCACATCAGCGTGTTTACCAAATCTACTAAGCATAGCATTAAATAGCATAATTTTGTAAAAATATAATTTTATAAACACATTTATATTGTTTATTTGAATTTAATATTAAACTAGGCTTAGCAGTAATTTCTGTATTTGATTAAAATTTTTATAATAAGTATTAATAAACTTAATAAAACTTTTCCGAAGATATTTAAACATTCTAGATAAATTAAATAAACTAAATAAATTAACTTTTTTTTATTTTTGTTGCTTTATGGGCCATTAAGGCCTTTTGCAGCTTCTACTAAACCTCTACACCTGTCATGATCAATAATTGTTTAGATATTGCAATAGAGAATATTATTGAATGTAATTTGTATTTAAGTAATTATTGTCAATTAATTGGTATACTTATTTTTAGTATATTGATAATTGATAAAAAATTTAAAAAAAAATTTTTATCCCAAAAAAAGTATATTAAATATTTATAATTTATGCAATGTTATTTAACAATTGTAAGCTATGACTTAACAAAATATGTATTTATATTTGTTGTTTTTCTTAATCAAGAATTAATATTTTTAAGAGAACGTCACAGCCACATGTGTAGTTTCCGTCTGACATATGTACAATGTAGCAAATTTGAGTTTAGTGATTCAAATGTACTGATGTTAGCTTTAATATTAGAGTAAACTGATCTATAATCAAACTTTAAAGGAAGATCATTATCTGGGTTTTTTTTGGTCGGTTTTTCCAATATTTTAATTTTTAAGCGTGTTGTGAGTATGTAAAATATAACATTAAAAAAACATCAAAACTCGCTAAAAAAATTTGAAAAAATTTTATTTAAATTGTTTAGTGAGTTATGATGTTTTTTTTTAAATATTATATTTTACATACTCATAACACGCTTAAAAATTAAAATATTGGAAAAACCGACCAAAAAAACCCAGATAATGATCTTCCTTTAAAGTTTGATTATAGATCAGTTTACTCTAATATTAAAGCTAATATCACTACATTTTGCAAATTTGCTATGTACGTATGTCAGATAGAGAAAACACATGCAGGTGTGACGTCCTCTTAACATTGTTTATTATGACTTAAAACTAAAATAAGTATTGTTTGTTTATATATTAATTATCATTTGTTATTAATATATTAAGTTATGTGCTATTATTATTATTATTATGAATAATTTTAATTGGAAAAAATATATAATAGAAACAAACATCAAGAAAAAAACTGACTTTTTTATAAGTTGGTATTATTAAAAATGTATTATTAATTTTGATAAAGATAAGCAATATTTATGAAAATATAAAATTTGATAGAAAAGTTTTAACAAAGTCATATTATATTCAATTAAAATGAAATGCATAGAATTATTCTTTAATGCAGATAAATATTAATACATTTTTGAATTATAATTGTATTTCATTTTTCAGGACACTGTACAAGCATTAGTTGCAGATTGTGAAAATCCTGCAGTTAAACGGATGAAAAATGTTGAAGCATATATGAATAGATGTAAGTAATGCATTATCTTAAGTAAAAAATTTACTTGGATAAAATACTGCGATATGATATACATATATTTATAATACTCATACCACGTATACTTAAACTTGTGATGTGTTTATCATTGCATACAAAAGGCTATTTTTTTAGTTAAACTATTGTTACTGTAGTGATCTAGAACAACCATCAATCATAGTTTTAATATCACCATTTATATGTTATGTCTGTGTATCACAGAGGGGTAACTATGAATTTTTATGGCCGGGAAAAAATGTTAAAATTGCTCCCTATCATAGACCAATAATCAAATATTCTTCTTGAACATTTTTTCTAATAATTAATGTATGTTAATTGATTGTATCATACTTATTGAGTTTTAAACCTAATAGTAGTACTTAACAAAGTTAATCTTACCATACAAGTTATTAATAATTACAAAAATTACACCTTCTAAAATGTTATGTCGGGGGATGAATCTTTGTCTTCCCCCCCTAGTTCTGCCATTGGTGTATCATATAATGGTATAAGAATTGTATACAATATTGTTATGATGAATGATAATATATCCACGTATTATAATATATATTGTGCTGCATTATTTTGATATCAATACAGCTTTTACACGTTATACGCTATTATACCCTTAAGAAATTTATCTGATATTTTTAAAAAAATGCTATAGTGAAAAATATTCTTGTTTAAATTATAAAATTCTTTAATTATTATTTTTAACCCTATCTAAGTGATTGACCTACAATGCATTTTAAATCATTTAAAATTATTACAATTTTTATATATTATCTTAAATAACAACTTTCAATCCTTGGCTACTTACATATTTCAAATTAAATAACATTTTATATTTATTTAAATATTGAACGCAACTTTAACATTATTAAGTAGATCAGTTTTTTTCATTGGATTGTCAAAATTACTGAAGATAATGACTTAAGCATAGCCCCATTAATATATAGGTTCCAATGATTAATTAAATTTAATAATTGAAATCAATATATTTCATTTAAAACCATTATTATTAGTTTTAATTAATCAAGTAATGAATTTAATATGATTTATAGATGATAAATTTGCATCTGAAATCTGTCAATTACGTATGAAACCTGATGATTTTAATCTTATTAAAGTTATTGGACGAGGTGCTTTTGGTGAAGTGCAATTGGTAAGTTCGATAATAAATTTTTACATAAATGTTTATTGATTAATTATTATTTCATAATTTGATCAATTATTTTCATTTTTTTATCTCAATAAACTTAAAAGATATTATATTCTTAAAGATTTATTGGTAAAATTCTTATATTTTCATTCTGTTGCCATAATATTATTTGTTTGATTAATATCCTCTATATATGTTATATCATTATTTATTTTAATTTCATTGAACATTTTTGTCATTTACTATTGATTTTTTTCTGTATTATATTAATTTATTTTTAGTTTTAGTTTAACTAAAGTTCATTTTGAAATTTCATTCTAGCAATGATAATTTCCTTATACATTGTTCTATGATATTTTTTTCTAGTTTTCTACCTAATAAGTATATTATTATTATTACTAGGGTAACATTTGGATACATTTTAAATATTTAGTGGTAAAAATCTATATTTATGATACTATTACTATAATATTATTGGTTTGATTTATTATAGTACTATACATTTTTTTTCATATTAGTTAAAAATTATTTACACTATAGCCTATAAATGTTTTATTAGTAGTTATGATAATTCTATTAAACAGTTTTAGAATTTACTTTTTAACAAATTTATTTTTATTTTTGTTGCTCTAAATAATTACACTAATATTAATAACATTAAATTTGTTAAAATAAAATAGAATTATAACCAATGATCAAATTTAAATACATTTTATTAATATCTTGAGAATAAGTTGTTATATAATTTGATTTTTATGTAATTTGTTGAAAAGTTGTTGATTTAATAGTAAATTTAACTTTTAATTATGCAAATGTGTTTAAATTGTGTTAATTTTTTTCAATTAGGTGCGTCATAAATCAAATCGTAAAGTATATGCAATGAAACTTTTAAGTAAATTTGAAATGGTATGTCTACTTTAAATAAAGTTTTATTTCTTAACAATACTATATATATTATTTAATGTAGATAAAACGATCAGATTCTGCATTTTTCTGGGAAGAACGTGATATTATGGCACATGCAAATTCAGAATGGATTGTTCAACTCCATTTTGCTTTTCAAGACCATAAATATTTATACATGGTCATGGATTATATGCCAGGTAAAAAATAATTTATTAACATACACTTATGAGAATTAACTTGATGAAGTTTCGACATTAATCTTTGTATTTGGATTAAATTCTAAGATTTTCAAGTTTTTCATTCACTATGTTAACTAAACTATTATATTTGTGTAATTACTTACTGTAAATGTAATAAATTAATCTTTAAAATTATAAAAAAAAATTGCACAAAAAGTTAATAGACTATAGTTTATAGTCAATAAAGTGAAGATATTTTTTATTTATATAAAAATAAAACTGTGTATTCGTACATTTTAAACTGAGATGATGCTATGTAATAATTGTTTCATTGCACTTTTACTTTTTCCTTAGGTGGTGATCTTGTCAACTTAATGTCCAATTATGATGTTCCTGAGAAGTGGGCAAAATTTTATTGTGCTGAAGTAGTGTTAGCATTAGACGCTATCCACTCAATGGGATTTGTTCATAGGTATAAAATATTTTGTTTTTAATCAAAACAAATAATTAAATAATATTTTATTTTAGGGATGTTAAGCCAGATAATATGCTACTAGATAAATATGGTCATTTAAAATTAGCTGATTTTGGAACGTGCATGAGAATGGGATCGGTAATAAATATTTTTTTTTTGCGTTTTTAAAATTAATTTACAATTATTATTTTATTTTTAAGGATGGTATGGTTAGATCTGATACTGCTGTTGGAACACCAGATTACATTTCACCTGAAGTGTTGGAATCTCAAGGAGGAACCGGAACAGGAGAACATGGGGTTTATGGAAGGGAATGTGATTGGTGGTCTGTTGGAGTTTTTGTTTATGAGATGCTCATTGGAGATACACCGTTCTATGCAGATTCTCTTGTTGGAACATACAGCAAAATAATGGATCATAAAAATTCTCTAAGTTTTCCTTCTGATATTGAAATATCTCAAAATTCTAAATCTTTGATTTATGCATTTCTCACAAATAGGTACATTGATAAATTAATAAAATATTATTAACATATATAACACAAAAAGTATATTTAATAATAATTTTTAAAATTCCAGGAAAAAACGTCTTGGAAGAAATGGAATCAGTGAAATAAAAGAACATCCTTTTTTCCAAAATGATCAATGGACATTTGATAATTTAAGAGATTGTAAGAATTTTAATTTCATTCCTGTTTTTTTATTATTATACAAATAAATAATGTAGGTGTGCCACCTGTTGTTCCTGAATTAAATGGCGATGATGATACTAGTAATTTTGATGATGTTGAAAAAGATGATGGCCCAGAAGAAAATTTTCCAGTTCCCAAAGCATTTGCTGGAAATCATTTACCATTTGTTGGATTCACTTATTCTAGAGATTACCAGTTAGTAGTTTTGTTTTAAATCAGAATATTTATAAAAATAAAATGTAACTTATTGAAATAAAATAACTAACTTATTTAAGACTATCCAGTCGAGTATACAACTTTTGTATTATTATTTATGTGTTTGAAATATATATTATATAAAATAAACTATTGATTTTTTTTTTACAATTCGGTTAAAAGGCTATCCTAAAAGATGTATTATGTAAAATATTTCTTAAAGAATTAAAACTTGAATTTCAAATGTAGACCATTTATTTATACTGATAATATAGTTTTTTTTGTGTATTTTTAGATTATTGGGAAATGGTTTATTAAATGGTGAATGTTTATCAGATACTGTAAGTATTTATGAATAATAATTGTAATTTTTTAATTTTTAATGCTGTTCTTGGTTTTTAAAATTGTATTTTTTATTGGTTCTCTCTTACTAAAATTTAGCTTATAAATACTAATACAATCATAAAAATAATTACAAAAGTAAAATTTTAATCATAATAGTTTTTTTTTTTTTTTAGTTATATATTTAATGTATACTATTAAAGTTTTAATAATTGAATTTTATTAACGCATACTCAAATACATACTAACTCTATTTGTGGTTTTTATCACCTTTTAATTGTATTTTCCAGAGTTGATTTATGTATATATTTATTCAAAAATTGAATTAAATTTTTTTATTTTTTACCAATACTGGATATTTAAGTGTATTTGAGATGACTTTCACATTTAGAAATTGTCTGAAAAGTAATAATTTATTGTATAAGAGCCATTTATTTCTAAAATGTATCAGTATATTTTAAGCTGATGTAGAAAAATATTTAAAATTTGTTTAATATACCTCAGTTAAAATGTTCAAAATATATACCCAAGAAAAAAATTGCATTATTAGTAATTCGTTTTAAACAATAAATTCGTTAAAATTTTTATATCAGCGTTTTCATAGAGCTTCTTAGAAGTCATACTCAACAGGTTTTTCTTACGAGTATATTTTACAATATGTTTTTCCATTAATATGGAAAAATTAGACGCTTAATTTTAACTATTTCCAAAATGCTTTATTTTTATATTAACATTACTATTTTATTTTATTTTTTCATGTGCTGCTTTATAAAAAGGTGGATTGTGTAAGTAATAATTTTATTATTCTAATAAATATTATGTACATAAGTTTTTAAACTGCTAAAAAATAATTACTTATTGTAGTAATTTAACTTTACAATAGATATTTTAATTATGAATTTTGAAGATTTTTAAACCCATAATTTGTTAAACATAGTAATGATATTTTCCGTTGAATTTAGATTTTTAATTTTTAAACTTATTAAATTTATTATAATAATTAATTATATTTAAAACTTATTAAATTGTATTAATTATTACTAATAGTTATTGATATTTTATTTTTTATAGAAAGAAACTACTCATATTGTTGTTCTTAAAAGAGAATTGGAAAATGAGCGGAAAGAATTAACTGTAATACGTGACCAAAATAGTAAACTTTTAGTGCAGTTACAAGATGGAGCTGATCGAGAATTACTTTTGAAACAAAAATCATCAGCTTTAAACACTTCTATTGCTAATCTCCAAAAAGACTTGAAAGATGTAAGTATATTTTAATATTTATTTTGTAAATTTATCCATTTATTAAAGTAATTTATCTATTAATACTAAAAACAAATGATTAATATTTATAAAATAATTTATCTCATTAACTAAACTTTTATCATTTTAGGCACAACGAAAAGCTGACAATGAATGTGAAATGCGTAGAAAAACTGAATCTTTGTTACAAGAATTGAAAAGGAAACTCGATGAAGAACAAAATAAAAGAACAAAAGAGATGAACAATAACCAACAACATAATGATAAAATTAATTCTTTGGAAAAACAAGTAAGTTTACTAATGATTTTTAGATTTTTCATATTTTACCGGTTTTTTTTTTTTTTTAGATGGTTGAGTTGCATGAAAAATTAAAAGTTGAAAGCGATACTTGTACTAAACTTCGTAAGCAAGCTGCAGAGCTAAGTGTTGCTAAAGCAGCTAATGAACGTATGACTGTTGAACTACAAACAATGTTAACTACATTGCAACTAAACCGTGATACATTACACGAAGAATTAGCAAATTTACAAGGACAATTGTCTCAAGAAAAAAGTTCATTAAGAGATTTACAATTGGAATTAGAAGGTAAATTATTTTAAAAAATTCAAAAAATCCATTTGTACTATTTTCTTAGAACATTATGATGTATTATGTCATAATACTATTTTGAGATTATCTCATAAATAACCACTGATAAAAATTAAATGGGATTTTAACAATAAATTGTTTGTTATAATTTGTAAGCTAATTAATTTTTCAAGTAGACTCCTCAATAAGCTTATTTTATTTACTTAAATTTTATGAATATACATTTAAGGTTTTAATAATATAGGTTTTTCTTTGTTCATTGTTTTTCCAACATAATGTTTAATATAGGTTTATTTATTTTATCTAGTCTAATAGATTATTATATATAAATGTATATATATAATACCCAGTTTAACTTATTGATTCTATACCTAGACTTACAATTGAATATATTTTAAAACAAATCATAAAAAAAAATATTAAATGTGTTTAATTTATATTTGTACATCTCAATTGTTAAATTAAATGACATGTATTTTAAGGTCGGTTGCAAGCTTGCCAAGCTGATCTTACACGTTCTAAAGTGAGAGAACAAAAATTAAGTGAAGACAACAGACAACTTGGGGAAAGAACATCTATTTTGGAAAAAGAATGTGCATCATTAGTATTGGAATTGAAAACGGTTCAAAATAGATATCAACAAGAAGTCAGGGCTCACGAAGAAACTGAAAAAAGTCGTTTAGTTAATAATGAACAGGCCAATCTTGAAATAGTTAAAGGTATATATTATTTTAGTTTTATTAAATATATATATATATATTATATAAGAAAAATATATTTAAATATCGTTAAATAAACTAACAAAAACAAAATCAAACAATATTTTATAAAAAAGTTTTTCAATTGATCAATTAAAATCAAATGTGATAAATTCCAATGCATCTATGAATAACTTAAAAAATATAAAAAAAAATTAAATATTTAATTTTCTTTCTACTGACTACAATTATTTCAAAATGTAATTAACAGAATAATAGTACTGTCTGCTATAAAAATAAGTGGTGATATAAATTATATAAATTTGACAGTTAATTAAAAATAATAATAAAAATATAATTATTTATCATAATTAAAAATAAAATATTCTTCCTTGTTGATTGATAGAATTTGTGTGTACATACATAAAAAATTGTAGTTTACATTTAGTTATATGCAAAGATAATATTTTTTTACTTCTTAATTTTTTAATGATTCCTTTGTCAATATTCTCAATATTTTTGCAAATCTGTATTAAAACTAAATACTTACCTAAAATTCTTCAACTTTGCTTTTATTTATTAGTTGGATAAGAGAAGAACCAATGTCAAACATTAAAATATTTATAAAACATTTATTTCACTCAACAAATGTTTCTAACTTCAGATTTATGAAAACCCAATCTCAATTCAACCCTCAATGATTATCGTATCAGTTTCGGTAAACGATTTATTTTAGGACAGCACTCAACATTTAAACTTCTATTAAACCTTGAAATATACTCTTTGTATAAACCCTTTTAGTCTCAGATATATAATTGGAGCTCCCGTGTTACAAATGTTTGTTCGAATATCCTGTGTTTGCTCTTCACATAGACCCTTAACTACTCACAGTCACTGAACTTACTATAAAAGATTCACCAGTTATTAAATCACTCACACTCCCTTATTAAAAATATGTTCTTCTTTTTCTGTAATTTTTCAACAACATCTAAAGTGTAACTGGTTTAGAGATCTACATAAATTACAAATAAGTAATTATAATATTAATAATAAAAAATTTACTAGTTAATGTGAACAAATAATTTAAATTCTAAGATAATCTTAGTGAATTGCTTTCTACACAAGTCATTCTTATAAAATATATTACTGATACAACAAATTTACTTATTATATTAGTTAACAGATTTTAAATAACATGTTTAATTTAATAATTAAAAATAACATATTATACATATATGTTAATTAAATTAATATTATTTTTTTATAATATTATAATTATTTCATATTAGTAGAATTCAATTACAAGCAAAAAATAGCTTATAATTAAATATAATTTTGCTGCTCAAATTTTTTATATTAAAAAATTCTTAAAAAAGATGTTAAGGTTTTTTGAGCATTAATTATTTTCAGTATGGATTATTTATTTTGTTTTCATGCTTTAGTTAAAATGGATTATATATTTAAAGGTAATTTGTGAACATAAATGTTGTTATGGGCTTGCATATTATGAGTTAAAGATAATACACACATAAGTATACTATAGTCAGGAGGTAATCTTAAATGCAATACATACACAAAGGAGTGGCACAGACAATACATTTGTATATAATGAATAGATGCACATAAGTAGGCTATGAAATCTATAAAATAATATAATTGTATAATTTAACCACATATTAGATATATTAATTGAATTATCAGTGAAGGGGCATATAATAATAAGTAGGTATGGACCATGTATAAAATAATATCATACACATAAATATTTATTAAAATATGTTCGTGACAAACAATCAGAGGCTGAGTGCATAATAGTGGTTAGATAAAAACCTCATCCTGGATTAATAGGAAAACTCCATATTTGGGAATTACATATCACTGACTACATCTTAAGGTAGATAGTCATGAAACAAAGAACGATAAAGATTTCACAGGAGATCGAGGTATATAAATGGATCCCAAACCGACCCATTTTACGTAATAAATTTATTAATTGAACTTAAAATTATTTGGTAAGTTAATAAATATCTGAACTTATTATTTATAATAAAGTTAATATTTTAAAGTCAAGAGTTCATTTTATTTCACCACATATCATAATCTACATTGATTGAGAAGCTGTACCATTGATTGTGCTCTACTCTTGTCGCACTGATCGGCACACAACACAATTTCACCTGAATTGAATTTCAGGCAAAATTATTTTATTTCAAGAACAACTACTGACTGCGCCAAATTTTTTTGCGTGCCGGTCGGTGAGTACCGGCTAGTGCAACAGCAGTCTTAAACTCATAATATGCAAGCACAAAACAATGTATTGATGACAACAAATGTATTTGTAATTTTTTTTTACTACAGCACTTCAAACTAAGTTAAATGAAGAAAAGAATGCCAGACAAAAAGCTGACTCACTTACTCAAGAAAAAGAACGACAAATTTCAATGTTATCGGTTGATTACCGTCAAATACAACAAAGACTGCAGAAACTTGAAGGTGAACATCGCCAAGAAGTAGAAAAAGTATGTATTCGTAATATTTAATGTTCTCTGAATATTTTTCATTTAATGATATATACATTTTATTTTAGAGTAAAGCTTTACATGCTCAAATCGAACAAGAGCTTTCGAAGAAATCAAATTTACAATCTGAATTGGGTACACATATATCTGAAGCTACTCAATTACGTGCTAGAGAAGCTCAGTTACTGCGCGAAGTTACTTTATTGAGAGAAAATAAACGTGCTATTGAAGAAGAACTACATAAGTTGAAAACTGAACACTCTGTTACTGATTTACAGATGAAAGAATTGCAAGACCAATTAGAAGCAGAGCAATACTTTTCGGTAATATTTTCTACTTGTTTAATTTATTATTAATTATATTTATACTTGTTATATATTTCATAGACATTGTACAAAACTCAAGCTGCTGAGCTCCGCGAAGAAGTGGAAGATAGAGGAAAGGGTGCTGCCGAATTGGAAGAAGAACGTGGCTCACTTGCTCATCAATTACAAATAGCATTAGCTAGAGCTGATAGCGAAGCACTTGCAAGATCTATTGCTGAAGAAACAATAATTGACTTAGAAAAAGAAAAATCATTAAGAGAGCTTGAATTAAGGGATAGTCAAAGTCGACATCGCAATGACTTGGATTCAAAAGAATTTACTCTAAATAATGTTAGTTATAACATTTTATTATTTTTATTTTGATATTCATACATTTTTAATATGTTTTAATTCCCTAAAATGTATTTTTAGTTGAGAGAAGTAGAAAATGAGTTGAAGAAAAAAATGGAACAATTGATTAAAGACAATGAAGAGTTAAAGAATCAATTGAATTTAATTCAAGAAGGTAAGATACATGGTTATATCTAATTAATTATTTACATGTTAAACAAAAATTAAACAAAGAAAAAAATAAATATAACTTTAAAATAAAATTGCTTATAGAGAGCAAAAAGAACTTTATTGAGGAATTAGAAAAACTTCGAAAACAACTTAAACAAGAACAGTTGTTAAAAGCACAAGCTGTGAATAAACTTGCTGAAATCATGAATCGTAAAGATAATACTACTAAAGGAAAGAGTAAAGTTTCATCAGCTGATTTGCGAAGAAAAGAAAAGGAATGTCGGAAATTGCAACAAGAATTAACTCAAGTATGTCAAAACGAATTAGAAATAAAAATAAACTATAAAAATTTATTTATACAATATCTGTGAATCATACTTTCTAAAAACAACAGATATTTTTTAATTTTAGTGTAAATACTAAAATTAAACCAATATTAATTGAAGGATTACTTATATTTCGATTTTGAAAAATGGAAGAAGTGTAAATGCTTCTATTGTAGTTAAACTAGATTTATTTTATAGATGTAGTACTATTATTAAACTTTATATTTTATTAATGCAAATTAAATTTAAATCATAATAATTAAAACTTAAAATAGTTTAAATTATGCTAATTCTTAACATCTTGCTTATAGATGAATAGTAATTGAGGACTTAGAATATCCTAATACTTAAAGTTGAAATATTAATTTCATTATTAAAAGTATAGAATATTATTGAATATTTTATAAATATTCCTCTAGTACACATTAAATTTTACTTATATTGTATTAACAAATATATTATTTGTTTATAGGAACGTGATAAATATAATCAAGAAGTGACTAAATGGCAAAAAGAACTTCAAGAACTCCAATCACAAGTAGTAGAAGAGAATACAAGTAAATTAAAACTCCAAATGGAACTTGATTCAAAAGATTCTGAAATTGAACAACTTCAAGGAAAACTAATAAACATGGGAAGTGAAACAGCATCACTTAGTAGTGCTGACAATGATGATAGTGATATTTATACTCAAGGTTTGTATTATACATATTTTATATATTTATAACAAGTGTTTTCTCATCAGTACTTAGCAATTAAAAAAAACTGTAGTTTATATTAATACAGAATCCAGGCTTGAAGGCTGGTTATCAGTTCCCAACAAACAAAATATTAGACGTCATGGTTGGAAAAAGCAATATGTTGTAGTTTCATCAAAGAAAATATTTTTCTATAACTCTGAGAGCGATAAACAAAATACTGATCCTATATTAATCATTAATTTAAAGTAAGTTTTATTATTTTGTCGAAATACTTAAATAAAAATAAAATACTTCAATTAATTAATTCGTCTATCTTATATTTTAGTAAGGTATTTCATGTAAGATCTGTAACCCAAGGTGATGTTATTCGTGCAGATGTTAAAGATATACCTCGTATATTTCAAGTATGTATAAATATATTACTGTTTAATTGATCGTTCTTAAAGAATGAACTATTGATATTGAAAAAAAAAAAATGCTTTATATGTCTTAAAATTTATCATTTTTTTTATTTTTTATTTTAATTTCAGTTATTGTATGCGGGTGAGGGTGAGGCTAGAAGGCCAAATGAATCTGGTCCAGAACATTTGTCAAGAAGCACAAGTGTTACGAGTACTGTAGACGAAAAGCCTGGTACCATTACATTAAAGGGCCACGAATTTGTTCAGATATCGTTTCACATGCCGACTAATTGTGAAGTGTGTCCCAAACCATTGTCAAATGTATTTAGACCACCACCGGCCTTAGAATGTAGAAGTAAGTTAGAAAATAAATTTGTTGTAGATATATTTGTGTATGTATTGCATTTTATGTTAGGCTGCAGAATCAAAGTACACAAGGAACATCTTGAACGAAAGGAAGATGCAATTGCTCCTTGTAAATTACATAATGATCCAACATCTGCTAAAGAGCTGTTAATATTAGCACCTAGTAGAGATGATCAAAAGTTATGGGTTCACAGACTGAGTAAAAAAATTCAAAAGTGTGGATACAAAGCAAATACTAATCCAGATGGTTCTAAAATATCACCAAGGTTGATTTCACTGTTTGTTCATTTTGATTTATTTAGTTCCTTTGTAAATGATTTATATAATACATTGCAACATTTGTTTTAAAGGGAATCAACTCGTTCTACATTAAAACTTTATCCTGGAAGTTCTGTACATCAAAGATCTGCTACATTGCCGTCGAACATATCCAAATAAATGAACTGATGAATTTTTTATGCTCAGGGTGGCCAAAATTTTACATAGTAAGTTTTTATTTTATTTTAACAAACAATATTTATCAAGAAGTATGTTGGAATGTTCGAGCAGACTATAGAGTCGGTTGCAATGCGCACCGTCACTGGTTCAAACTTCAGTCACTGGCAGTACTTTTCTCTGGACAGATAACTGTCTGGAAAGAGAGACCGCCATCTCCCAACTGGACATGACAGAAACCTATAGGTGCCCATTCGATCCTCTGCCAAAACACAAACCTACCATTCCAAAACACTAACAAAAAACCCACAATAACCCTACTAACAGCTAATGGCCATAGTTTTTGGGCTTAAGGGCATTGCAAACGGTCGATTATTTCAACTAAAACATATCTATCTTTTGTCAATCATACCGATGGATTGAATAATGCAAAAAGATTTTTGAAAACTGTTTTAAATTCTTTATAGTGTGTACTTTAGATCGATCAGACCAATTTTTCAAATTTAATAATTAAATAATTTTTAAAATCTAATAATTTGGTTTGATTATTTTAAAATTTACGAAATTTTAAATGTTAATTGTTCCAAGTTAAAATTAAAAAACTTGAAACGTGGTCTGATCGATTTCATGTAGACAAAATAACGAATTTAAATCATTTTTTAAAAATCTTATCGTATAAATAAGTTGAACAGTAGGATTGACAAAAAGTACATACTTTTAGCACAATAAAACATACGTTCAGGATTGTTCACGCGCGCGACGCGGTGTCGATGACTTATACGTGCGCATGCGGAAGATCAAGGAAGTGCAGAAGCCACACTAACACTAATGATCATTTACTATGCCTACATATGTACGCTTCGCACATACGCACTAATATAATTGCCTATACCGAACCCCTTAAAAATGATCCGTTTGCAATGCCCTCGAGGATCAAATAAAAAAAAAAAATTTATATATATTTCTCAATTTATTGTAATATTAATTCATTTATCTAATTTTTATTACGTACGTTTTTATTTTGTAAATTATATAAATCCAACCTAAAAATGCTTTTCATGCTTAACATGGTTTTATAACATTTAAGTTGTAATATTATAATTAATATTTAATTTATTTTATCAGGGTTCAATCATCAATCAAGCAGCAATGATGTATATTTTTAAAGTAAATGGACTTTGTGATCCACAAAGTATTATGTAAATATACATATATGTAATTTAAACGAAAACATTTTGTAAAATCACAGTCAGGTTTACTGAACACCAATTTGATTTATTGTTATGAATCATTGTTAATGTTATGTTCCAAATTAACTGTATTTAATTGATTCGCTTAGGATATAAGTGTAATATTATATTCAATGTGTTACTCGCAATGACTGATTATGTATATAAAAAGCTCTGTATTTTACGTATGATGATTTTACTAGCCAAAAAAATTTGTGTTTAGTTTAAACTTCTCAATTGTACTTATTCAGAAATGGATTAAAAAAAAAAAATAATTTATAATCACAAAAATTTTAAATTTATAATCCATTTTTAAATATATACATATATAATTCAAAATCTTTGAGTAGAACATTCTGTTATTTATGTTTTATAGAATCATTGGCTTGTTATTTTTGAATTATTTGTTTACCATGGCAGCTCGCGCAGAAATGTAATTGTAAATTTAAGTTAAAATTTTAAAATAAAACTTTTATGTATAAAATCAAATGTTAAACATTCATTAAAAAATAGAATAGGCGCAAGGCGAACTGCCACAATTTTTTAACATTTCAATATTTGATATTTCTCTGATTTTTAACTGTTATTTATTTAATATTGCCAAAGCCTTTTTTTTTTTTTTTTTTTTTTTTGTAGGAATCTTTTCTTTAACTTTAGATTTTTGTCACTATTATGTTTTATGTTACCCATTGCGTGAAGTGTATCTTAAGTATTATTATTATTATTATTATTATTATATGTAATGTGTATTATGTAAATTATTTTATTTTAATGGCATTTAACAAGTACTATTTATTTTGTTGTCTTTTTTTATTTTTACTTTTTATTTTTAATTATTGTGTATTTAATAAACTATATGTATACGGAAGGAATAATAACTACCCCAAAGATCAATCAAAGGCAGACAATAAAAATACATTTTAAATACTTAAGTTTTACTTTTTTATTCAGTTCATTTTTAATTAGGTACTTATGAAATAAGTTCTTTATGTGCATTTTTATTAAATAACAATTTTTTTAAAAATATTTGATTTTTCAATGAATATCGTCAGTTAATTTGTTTCTAATATTGCTCATTTTTAGTAATATTTCTATACACTGACATAAGATTATATTTTACTGATAAAGCTTGGGTATAATTTCATTACTTTTTATCTGAAAGTTATCGTAATTCATCTTGTTTGTATTCCGAATTAATATTTTAACATAGAATATATTTCATTGTTTTTTTTTTTTTTTTAGAATTTTGTATTTGTTGGTTTTTTAATTAAAATATGAGTAAATCGAAGCAATAATAAATTTTGTTGTGACATGATAAGTTTTGTATTTGTATGTATTGTATTCTTTGTAATAATTGTTTTTCTATTAAACAACGAAATAGTAAATTGTTTGCTCAATTCGATTATTTTCACAAATTATTTATACTAATTAAACTTTTTTACTCTGGTCCAAAATGTTGTGATAAATGTCTTAAAACTTCTCATGATTATAATTCACTGGCAAAAATATATAATAAATGTGTTTTTAATAATTTTTTTTTTTTTTTTTTTTTAATGGTTGCTTTGGTGATGTTTTAGGCCTACTTAATGTTATTTACCAAACACTGTTATTTTATTAAAATTAAAATATTAATATTCTTGTTGTGATATAAAATATTTATAAAAATCTCATCCAACAAGTCTGAAAATGTATTTATCACAAGAATGTAATATACACTGTTCCTAATCTTGTTCTTTACATAGTACAAAACACATTGTCATAGAGATTTATTTTATAATGTATGATTTCTACTTGTTCGCTTTTACATTTAAGAATCTAAGCTTAAATGTTTATTCTTATGAACCTATTAAACCATTCATTATGATTTTTAGAGTGTTGTAGTTTTGTATAAAACTATGAAGCCTAAAGTAATATTACATTATAATGCCCTTAAAATTGAAAGACCTGCATATTTTTCATTGAATTTTGTTTAATACAATAGGAAAGGAAAAATTATTTTTGTAAAAGCGGGCTTGTATTAAACAATCTTTTATTTAGCTCAAAATATATTATTATTATCTTTAATATTATAATTAAGAAATTGTTTAAAAAAAATTTTTGTGGATTATATTAGTCTTATAAGCATTTATGTTTTTTTCTTCATATTATTATTATTATTATAATTATGAATTTTAGAAATAATGACAAATAATTATAAGTACAGGACAGCTTTCGACTTAGATGAAAACATGCATTTGCTAATCTATTTATTTTATTTTATGGTGCATGTGAAATTTCACCGATTGGTCGATTTTCTTTTAATTTGTTGAAATAAATACTTTTATATATAACATTGAGGTTTGTTGCTTCTTCTGTAACAATAAAATGCATGAAAAAGTGTATATATAATCAGTGTATGCAATATTAACTTTTGTATGCGATTATTGCTTTTTAGTAAACATCGATATATTATTCATTTCATAGAAATAATAATGTTCGTGTACTTATTGAAAGAATATATATACCAACGGATATGGAATTACATTGTATACTCTGTGATTGTAATATTAAATATTGTATACGAGTTTTATTCATATTTTATTATTATTATTTATTAGCGTTTGAATTATATTTAAACAGAAGACTTATAACAATTAAAATAGTTACTTAACAAACATTTTATTTTTATTTACATTAGTGTCATAATATCGCGCATTTGCAACACAAATATTACATTTTAAAATAAAAATTGTTATTCATTGTGTTTGCTCCGAACTAAAACTGTGCATCGACTATAATGCGAATTTAAAAACTATTATAAACAATTTATAATCATAAGTATATGTATATATATATATACATTAATTATAATTATTATTACCTATCAATAATTTATGAACAATGGAACAAAAAGTGAATGTTTATGTAATAGTATTATCGAAACAAACTAAAATAAATGTTTATTGCTTTAACCAATGTATCATTTTTATTTCTCTACCATTTTTGTGATCACAAAATCTAGTTGACTAATTAAAAATATAATACATTTTGGATAACAATATTTAAATATTTATATATATGTATATGAAAATGTATTAAAAATTAAACTCTTAAGTAAATAAATAAAAAAAAAAGATAAATGTTAAAATATAAAAAATTTCAAGTAAATTCAACACATTTTGTTGTCGCTTGAAAATAACCGTTAATTACACCTAAATATACAAGAATATTTTTGAAATAAGTACAGTAATATAGTAAAAAATAAAATAAAAACAGTGTTATAGAAAAGCTAAGGATTAACTGATTTATCCGACTGGGGGCTTGATCACCTGTTGTTGTTTTTGAAGTTTTAATTTAAGTGCATCTCTTTTCTGAAAAATGTTAACACATTAGTTAATATTACTTGGGTGAGGATTTTTTTTTATATTCACTCACTCAAAAATGGGGGGTTAAATTTTCAATTATCTCTCCTAATTAATCTTAATAAGTCCATTAAACATAAGTTAAAATATAAAATTTGGTATCGCTTAGTTGGTTGAAACTAAAAATTATTTGATGTAACATTATAACTATGTCCTAAAACGATTGTATAACTTACAAAATAAGAGAGACATTTCGGGAGGGGGGATATATAACCCGTTAACTACCCCCTGGCTACACCACTGTTCATAGATATCAATGTTTTTTTCTCTACTTGTTTTAACTAAAAACAATTATTATACCGTAATTGTAACACATACCTACGTACAATGTACATTTTTCGTCCAAAAAGTATGTTATTTATGTATTGTACTATCTAATCCGATGATGATATCATCGTAGAAAAACAATAGATGTCTCCAATATCCTTTCGCGAATCCATTAAAAGTTCAATCACAGTTCCCGCTACCGTCTGGGATGTTCGCCTTTGGTTTATGGGCGCGCCCGAAGCGTATCCAATAATAGCATGACATTACCTACAACTATCCAGCACCCATTTACGGGATAGTAATACGATTTATTATTATTATTTTTTTTTTTTTGACAATTTTCACGCACAAAAAGATGCCTCGCGTACGTTATCAGTCCAAAGTGATCGTTGAAAAAATGTATCGTACGTGTTGAATTCACTTACGAAATTCTAAGCCAGAACGTTTGCTGCTGTGGTAGAAGTATGAGAACGCGTCTGCTGGTTTATAAAACAACAAGCGGAAACTTTTGACTGTTAAACTGTTTTTTTAACCTTTAAGTTCAAAAATTTATCGCGGACCACACACGTTACCGGTCCAAACGTCACCAGTGCTATTACAGAACGCAATCCGCTGCAGGATAGCAGGCTGTTGCGTTCAGTGCTACGGATTGCACCTGATTACATTTGCATTGAACGACGAGTACGCTCCGAAAAAAAAAAAACGTCCCGGCACGGTGCCGGTGTGCACTAGAGATCAGCACGGGCCGTTTTTTTTCGGCCCGATCCGGCCCAAAACTTAAACTTATAAATTGTCATCGTCTAGGCCCGATTCATATTTTATTTTTTTTAAGTCTAGTCCGACCAGGCTCGTTTGTAATTTTTTTTTCAAAGTCCAACCCAACCATGCCCGTTTGTAAATAAAAAAATACATCAACTGTATTTCCTTTCGGTATTGACTTAGCAGACAAAAATATTTCATAAAGGCAGTGAATGTATTACAAAAAAAAAATATGCTAAATTTTATTAAAATTTAAATATAAAATTATTTATAGATATAAAATAAATAATGCTACAAATTAAATTAATTAGTTTTGGTTCGACCGACCCGGCCCAATGAATAATATTACGATCCCACCTATACCCCCCCCCCAACCCGTAATATTTAAATTATGGCCCGGCCCGGACCAAGCCCGGTGTGGGTCGGGCCGGGTACGGACCGGGTCGGGTTAGTCCGGCCCGTGCTGATCTCTGGTGTGCACTATTACGTTGCTCGGGCACGTTTCAACATTGTTCGAAGACGGTTCAAATCCATAAAAAAAAAAAAACATCAAGATTATTAGGTCTTCCGTGTTTATTCATAAATTAATTGCGTTTTTTGAATTTTTCAGATTTTTTTCGCACTGAAAGTGTTGTATGACATACTCGTATATTGTACAGGGCGTTTTTGAAATTGATGAGGTCACTAGTATATGCGTACTCACCACGGTTATCTACTTAAGGCGACTCGAGCGTAAAAATCGCATAAACGGTGTGTTGCCTCGATTCGTAAAAGAATTTTGCAAACTATTTCAACTAGAATGTTTATTTTTACATTTAAGATAAGTAATATTCTGAAAATAATTTGAACGAAGATTTTGAAGATAGAAAAAAAAAATTCAAACATATCTCCTTAGGGCCATCACAGTGAATACGTATTATAGTGATCTCACCCATTTCAGAAACACCCTGTACATATTTATATACATTTAAACTTAATCACTACTTATTCATAAAATCACGATTACCACCAAACTTCTGAGAATATTAATAGCGAGTAAATATACATATAATTATAATTAATAAGTTCTAATTAATATTATTAATATAATATAAAAATATATATTAATAATTTTCTAATTAATATATTTTTATTATTTTTAAATAGACTTTTCGAAAAAATTTTAAAAAAATTAGGTAAGTACCTACTTAAAATTAGATAATTTTAAAATGCTTAACAATATAATTCAAAACAAAGCAAAACTACTGATAAATCCTAGTTTCATTTTAAATAAAAGACTATAACTAAAAATTAACAAGTTTAACAAGTTATTGAGTGCATGGAACTTACAGCAGATATGTGGTTTAAATAATATATAATTTCATCTGCCCCAATTTTCCCTAATTAACTACATGATCTTTATTTTATGCAACCAAGAAAATAAACCAAAAATGATTTATGATATTTTTTGAAATACTACGTTGAAAAATACTTTTTAAACCGACAAATGTTTAGTCAAGATCAATAATCGAAGGTAACTCAGGAATGTAGGATTAATGATTATAAGATTTCTAGATAAAATTACATAAGAAAAGAATACTAGAATCAATAATAAATTAAATGTAAAAGATCTTTATTATTAATAATAATGAAGATCTTTTATAAATGTTTTGCTTCTCATCCGGTTATATCCAGTCTACGTAACGTACCGGAAAAAATTTACTTAAGCTCTCTAATGAAGCTCAAAATCTAATAAATATTAATCTAATATAAAAATAATATTCTGTACCATTGTGGTAAAAGCTGATAAGTACCAAAACTAAATTTTATAGGACGGGCATTATAAAATTTATTTGGATTTCCTTTTAAACATTTTTTAACATAAATAATTTTTTAATGATATTTTATCAAATAAAGGTTATTTATAAATAGTCTTGATACACTGAAATACTTTTATAATAATTTATTGCTAATTTGAAAGTTATGTTAAGACTTATAATAAGTGTATTACTTATAATAATTGTGACTGATAAGAACAATAAAATGCACATAATATATTTTGTCATTTTTTTCGTCTGCTAAAGTAACATATAATATGTTTTGACTAATAGGTTTTATAGACAGCTAGTATTTTTTTTTTCAAATAAGTTTATTCCTTTAATTATTAACAAAAAATAAAATAAAAACAATCAACTTTTTTGTTATAACATCATATTACAAGTATCTATAAATTGTATAGATGGACAATTATTATTTGTGTTTGATGATGATATGTAGTATATCATGTATTGTAACAATTTTATTTTCTACATTTAAACAGTTATCACTTTCGTTTTTTGCTTAAAACAGATATAATAATAGAACTACAGATATCATATTTTGACACAATATAATTTCAACCTTATTCTACATATGTCATCTATAATCCCAAAATTGACTTTTTGTCACTTATCAGCTTTTGCCGCAATGGTACAGACTTGCTTTTACTTAGTATCTTCGTTTATTTAAAATAAAACTGAAAATATTGTTATAAAAAAAAAAAAAAAAAATGAAAAATTCGTAGTTATTGCTCTCGAAAAAATAGGTTTTGGTGTATTAATATCAAATAGAATGAAAGTTGGTATTTATTTGTTTTCAATACGGGCCACACAGTGGGTAATTACGGGAGGGGGAGGGGTTGATGGGGATAAATTCCTCCCAGAGCCTTTTATTTTTTTCAATGTTTAATGTATTGACATATACAACAATATATAAAGGGCTTATTGAATGTAATGCTAATATATTTCCTAATACCCTGTATATTTATAATAATCAAAATTGTATGTACGTTGCTTATATCCACTACCACACCTAAGCGGATGTTTTCATCCCTTAAAAGAATAAAAAAATATTTAAGAAATACCATGTCTGAAGTAAGAATAAAAATAATTAACTTTTTATTCATTGTCATAAAACAATTGTCATTAAATTTTCATAATAATTAATTAATAATCATTATTTGTCATTAAACAGGATCGATTGAATGGATTAATTATGCTGACTGTCCACAAAAACATACACATTGACACAGAGATAATAAACGAGTTAGCTAAAAAAACCTAGGAAATTAGATTTTATTTTATGAATTATAGATAACATTTTAACATTTTTCTATTAATGTAACTGTGTATAGATTATGTTTAAAAAAAATAAAATACTTGTTAGGGGCGTGTATGGGGCATGGCCCCCCTTTTACGTTTATCCAATTAATTAAATAACCCCCCTCCAGAACCAAATCATAACTACGCCACTGGGGCCTCAGCTCAGAAGTACAGAATATCAATTTAACATAGTTAATGTATAATGTAAAAATGTGAAGATAAAAGATAAATAGGTAATACAAAAAAACCTAAAAAAGGCAAAAAAGAAGTTTACAAATTTAACTTAAGAATTAAAAGATGGATCCGCGTTGCCAATACGCATAAAAATTAATTTAGACAAGCTAAAATAACTCTAAAAATCACTATGGAAAGGTTTGATTCGACAAATGATTCGAACGCATGACACGAGTTGATAACATTTTTATGATTCGATGTTAAAGCAACGAATACACTGTGTTCAATTTCAAATTTTTCTAATTTCAACACGATTGAACGTATAATTAAACTTTGGCTATAAAAATTGCGCGTGGAATTTTTATCATTTGTAAAACGTATTCTACAGCTAGGTTAGAAAAATATCTATTATATTTATTAATGAGTTTGTTGATCGCGAAGAAGCATGTAACGCACGGTTCAACGTATAAATTTCTAAAGAGGTCGAATTCTTAAGCTACCCCCACACTCATGGGCGTCCCCAGGGGGGGGGCAAGACGGAGCATTTGCCCCCCCTGGAATGTTATTTCCACAGAAATTGGTAAAATTCCAAATCATAAATTAGTTTCTAAAAAGCTGAAGCGGAAAGTTGGTATGGTTTTTGGCAAAATAAAGACTGCCAAGATATTGATTTTATCGATTTGTTAAATTGTAACTGTACGTTTTTTCCAAATATAGCTGTTGCTTTTGAAATATTTTTGTCTCTTCCGGCTTCAAGCTGTACAGCAAAACGTTCTTTTAGTACATTAAGGCGTGTTAAAACATGGTTACGATCAACGATGGGTGATGATAGACTGAATGGAATATGCATGTTGAGTGTTCATAGAGAAAAATTAAATTCAAATAAAGAAAAATTTATTGAAAATGTACTGACACAATTTGGTAGAGAATGTCCACGGAGATTGAAATTTATATTTAATGAAAAAGAATGATGTATAATAATATTTTTTAATGTTTTAATTGTAATAATAATACCTACCTAATTGTAATGTTTTAATTCATAATTTTAATAATGACGAAATATAATAATTTACTATAAATAAAATGTATAAAAAAAATTTCATTTATTTTTTAAATTAATTTTGCCCCCCCCCCCTAGAAAAATGTCTGGGGACGCCCATGCTCACACTGCATTTGTCAATTATAACAATCGAAACAAAATTTATACACGATCGGAATTTAATTATTTAAAATAAAAACTTTATTCATATTATTTCTATATATATATATTTGATTCTTCATGTTTAACCTGAATCTTGTAATAAGAATTCATAAACATTCGAAAACGAATATTTAAAAATTAATGAAAATTTAAAATTCTATAAATGTCTAATACTTAACTCAATGTTATAAAATGTATATCCAATGGGTATTGAACATTTATCAAAAATTTTTTTTAAAAAATGTAATAAATATTGTATAAATATATCTATGCTATGTGGGTAGGTACCGCAAGTCAATAGCGACCGACAAATATATAATCTGTGGTACACAACTACTGTGTCTAATTATAATCGCGTTTACAGTGTAAAAAATATAGATTTTTTTTTCTTGTCAATACCTCGTCAACTTAACATTAACGTATGGTGTTTTAAATTATAAAATATAAAATGACTTTACATTAGTCAATTTTTTATACTGGATCTTGAGCTGTTTCAAATGTTTCGCTCTCAGCCCGACGTCCTGTAGTTCGGACTGATCCGCTAGTTTGCTAGGCGAACGTTTCATGCTAATCAAATTTTCCGCAAGAAAAGTTTTCTTCGTTTCCAATTCTTTGTGTCGATTCCTGTACGTGTCCAATTGACTTTGTACACTCGCGGTCTCTTTGAGAAGCTTTTCCTTCTTATTCGTTTTCCTGTAACGTAAAAACAAAAACGGTTAAGTGTTCGAACTAGAGATGTAATGTATATTCGAATAATCGAATTATTCGAATGTCCGAATAGTTTGATATTCGAATATTCAAACATTAAAACTAGCATCGAATACTGATATTCGAATGGTCGAATATTCAAATATTCGAATTACTTACGCTAATCCTATTCGAATTCGAATATCTGAATATTTCCCATCACTGGTGTGAACACTAGGTATTTATTTTCTTCGCGTATGCAACGCGTTCGCAAAAATAATTTAACTATACGTTTGAACTTTTTTACTCGATAAAATATGATATTAGTTTATTCATATACCACCCACAGTATCAGAACACTCAGAATACTAGAATAGAGGACAATTTTTATTCCAGAACGCCTGTGCACTCTACTAAAAAGTGTAAGTGTATCAAAGTTTAATAACAAAAATGTTTGTTGCCCATCATTATTAAGAGTGCTCCATATGTTGAATACGGCACTGTATGCATTTCACTTGGACCCAAGTATTGATGCCTCAGTCAGTTTTTCGCAATTGATAATTAAGCGAGCAATTGGGAAATTCTTAAGATGTCTACCTCCGTTAAAGTACCGTTTGAAAAACGTTTCATATCAGAAATCCCTCACAAATGAGATGATCGGAGCAATCCACCTGGACGAATTTTCCGGACAGTAGTAAGAGAAAAAAGAACACACACAAGTCCAATGAAACACAGTAAATACGAGTGATAAAAGTGCCTACACTGCAATGTACATATATGTAGTTATTATTTGATCACCTTGCGATTTTCACTTTCAGTTCCGCGATCCTTTCCAGCTGTCGCTCGATGTCCCGCTCGTCGACCGCGAGTGTCCGGCCGAATTCCAGGTTCCTGATCTGCTGTGCGGTCATCTGCTCGGCGACCGCGCAAAAGTCGTCAAGTATAACCGCCTTGCACTTCTTGTCCGACTTGCTCGCGTCCAGCGCCATGTACCCGGCGGCCGCGTCCGACAGGCTGGCCTGAAGCTCGGCCATCTGGCCGTCCAGCGCGTCGGCCGCTTGTTCCAGGCACCGGTTGCTGGCGCGCATCGACTCCACGGCGCGCCACAGCTCCAGGAACCGATCGGTGCGGGAGCTCGCGCTATCCACGTCCGCCGCGGTGGTCTCCTCGCGTAGTTTCCGCGAGACCATCGCCACCGCGTGAGCCGTCGTCTCGTATCGGTCGTCGCAGTCGTTGTCCTCTTTGTCGTCGTCCTCTTTGTCGTCGTTCTCTTTGTCGTCGTTCTCTTTGTCGTCGGCCACCGGCGGCCCGGCGAACGCGCGCCTCACACCGTCCCGTAACGCGAGCACGTCGTCGAGCATCGCTTCGGCGAGCGCGCTGATCGTGCTGTCCGCGGCGTGCCCGACAGCGACCCGATGGCACAGCGACGCGAACCGATCGACGGCGTGAGACAGCGCGGCCGGCACCGGACAGCCGCCGCCAAACGACCCGTAGAAATCGGCTCTGAGCGCCTCGTACGCGCCGTGCATTCGCTCCGCGGCCGCCCGCAGCGTGCCGATCACTCTGTCCTCCTCGGCCACGAACCGCTCCAGATCGTCCGCATACTCCGCCTTGGCCCGGTCCAGCCGCCGCAGCCCGTCCACGTGCCCGGTCACGTTGGCCACGTAATCGCGACGCACGTGCCTCTCGCGCACGATCACGTCCTGCAATGTCCTCACGCCCACGCGCAACATGGCCTTCGTGTCCTCCGCGTCGCACCGATCCCGTAGCGCCGAGTACCTGAAACACGGTCGGCGGTCGACGCCTCTTAAGGTGCGATTCCGCGTGGACGCAACTGCAAACGCGCCGCGATTCGGATTTCAACCGCGTCCCAATAGTACTAACTTGTTGGTAGACGGAACCGATTCCTATGGCAGTCGCTATGGCGCGCGGCCAGTGGCGTCCCTAGACCCTTTTATAGGGGGGGGGCGAACTACATACATTACCTATATATATGAAAATACACCAATTACTAGGTGTTTTACCTGATTTAAATCGGGGTATCTAATGTCATTAAGGCATCTGACATAGACATAGTTATAGATACAAAAAACAAAGTTTAATTAACAGAGTCACAGTGTTAAAATATTTTTGTACATATTAAATTATTTAAATGTAAATTAATGAATATTAACACACAAAACAAATATTATTTTTATTGATTAGATCATCTAATTTAGATGTATAGTAAAAAAGAAACAAAAAAAATGTACAAATCAAAGAATAAAATCGATTCTGTGTTTAGATTTAGCAAAGCGATTAATTATACTATCAATATCTAAAGGCACATTGAATATTTTTTTTTCCTAGTGTTATATTTTAATATAAATAATGAATACTTTGAGAAAAAAAATAAGGGTCATGGAGGGGGCGACTGCTCCATTCGCCCCCTCTTGAGGACGCCTCTGCGCGCGGCTGTGTATATTATTGTATATAGTGCGTGCACTGGTTTTCATATTTTTTAAAAACGCCACGGTCGTCACAAGTTTATCTCACGACGTTTTCTCCAGAAAAATATGTAAAAACTCCCTAAACTTATTCTCATCTCTCCACAAATGCTTTTAAATGAGAATACTGAAGACGTCTTCCTTTTTCCTAGTTAAAAACATCTAGTGTGCCTTGTTGGGTTTTTTAAACACCACCCTATTAATAATTGTTTATACTTTCATTTACTTGTTGTAAACGAAGTAGATTTAAAATTAACTTTCGCTTTTCATCTATAGAAATTTTGAAAGAGGAACACACATAACTATTGTAGGAAAATACACGCTGTTGCTTACAGAGAATCGCTGCAAACGGTTCACCGGTTCACATAGGATAATCGCACCTTTACGGTTCGTCCGCAACAATCGATCCCTAACAAGCTTACACGATTGAATTCCGAAAACATATTGAATGACAGTGGTGTAACAAACGCAATCGACAGCACCAAAATGTATGCAAAACCGGACCGAAGAAAAAATTGATTTTTAAAAGAAGAAAAAATGATTTTTAACGGAATGGATCAAGTGTATACGTGTAGATATTTAAGACAGTGTAATGTTAAAATGGCATAGTACAAGCGGTTCGGTATTAAGAATAAAATGTGTTATCATCAGATCTAGTACGAGTTGATGAAGCGTCGAAAGCTGCATTTACATTATAGTCCGAACGCGAACGAACGAATACAGTACTGTAAACGGTTTTCCGAACGATTCGTTCTTGTTCGGTAACGCTCGCTCGGATTGCGATACAATAAAAAAAAAAAAACACTCGTTCAGTCCGAAAGATATTCGGCTGTCATTTCTGATTCGGTTGTGTTCGAAACTTTGTGTCCACAAATGAATATTTCAAACCATTTTGGTTTTCAAAATGAATTCAATGCGAATTGTGGAGAAAAAGCCCGAACTACCGCGAATGGTTCCGAACACAGTAAACGGCCGAATCATCAACGAACTCGAACGCGTACGAATGTGTTCGGTGGCATTCGCTCGCATTCGTTCGCGTTCGGACTATAATGTAAACGCATCTGAGCACCTGAACAATAGTCGATATAAAAAAAAAATCAACATGCCCAATTAGTAGCTCGTTGATTATGAAATACGTAAATCTGAATCTGGTTCTACGTTGTTCCAAAGATTCGAATTGCAACGTTAAGTTAAGATATTTTGGTAAACGATGAATGAGAAATATTATTATTCTTTATGTTACATATTTTACACGTGACAATATATCGTTCGAAAACCGTTAAATACGATTTTCAATCTATGACTCGCAGAAACTTTATTGTTTATGTGTGTTGTTCTTACTTGATTTTCTGATTTTTTCTCTGCGAGATCAGCATGTGTTTGAACTGCGCTATGCCTCCGACCAGCTCGTTTGTCAAATTTAGTTTCTTTCGGTTTTTGCAAGTCTATACGTAGAAAATGAAACCAAATAATAACAATCAAAGTATGATACGGTTTCCAAAGGGTCTGAAAGAATAATTTAACGTTACGACGCATTAATACTCACGTTGCTATTTTTTACGTCCGTCACAATCAAACCGGACTCGAACCGCTGTTCCAGCGCAAACTGCTCAACTTGGTTAGACATTTCTGCATCCGCGGTAGAGTTATATTCTACTCCGAAACACTTTCCAACTACAAAAGAACAAATTACGTAAGGTGAAGACGACTGATCGAACAACGTTTACTATATCTATAGCGTTGGGTACAAGAGGTCGCTCAGAGGGCATGATCTTTTTTTTTGGTAATTTATTGTTTGAACCGCACCAGGAAAATACATAGATATACACCGTAAAACCATATACGAAGTTCTACCCCCCTCTCCTATATATAAAAGTCTAGAGACACTATACTGTTTGGGTATTTATTCGACGAACAATAACACGCGGTAAATCAACCGGTACGGCGAAACAATAGTTTGACAAAAAGTTCGACGGCAAAATACACCCACTGCAATTGGCGTGGAGAATTTCGTAAATTATTTTCTACAATCTTTTATTTACTCGGAAACCCGAAACCAATCGATCCTATCCGAATTGACTGTATCCGTATAATATACACGTCGTACACACAAATTGGTACAATCTTCGGCACTCGTCTCGTTCCACATCGTGAGTACGCCGTTTACCGTCCCCTTCGGTATCATTTCCAATCCCGCCACGGACTACATGCACGTACGTACGTGACGAATCCATCGCCAATTTATTAATTTCTTCTCTTGTCCATAAGGTACAACATAAGACCAAGTGCTAGGTGCTATCTGGGAAATGCAATTCGTTCGTTAATTTTAATTAAAACGATCGGTAGGTACACGCGTAGATAAGTAATTTAGGGAGAGCGATCGCCTAATACAATTAGATTATTATTGTATTCAATAATTAATTTATTAATGTGACACGCTCGTGCACGTAAGTATAATAATAACACAGTCCATACTCGATCGAACGTATTATTGATCCGCGATCGAGAAACGATCGTTATTCATTGTCCAACCGAAGCACACGGCAACGAATATTGTTGCTTGCGCGCGCCCGAAATAAACATAATACTACGTATGTTCGAGCACGGTGGTCCATACAACATGCAATAGGAATGTATGAATACGATTATCGTATGTACGTGTGAGATTGGATTGATAACTAATAGCAATAAAAAAAAACAAAGGTCAACGGTTCTTCTTCTTCGTTGATCGAACGGTCGTTTCGCACGGATTATGGAAAAAAAAAAAAATTAAAAAAATGACTATTATTCAAATTTAGTTATTATGGATTTAAACTAGGATTATTTTACTTTTAAAAAAACAGACACAATAATATAATATTTTAACGGTAAATCAAAATACCAATGTATAACTCGCCGGAAAGGACGATATCGTAAGGACTTCTCGAGGAACACATTAAAACGTAGTATTGCAATTATAGCAGATGCGGATTCACAAAATTTTTCACGGAGGAAGGTGCATAGCCATTTATATACAAATAGGATATACGTATGGTTAAATTGTATAACAATTAAAGGAATAAAATAGCATATTATTTTTATTACACTACACCATACAACATTATCGATTGATACAAGATACAACACAATTATGCGTACTAGAAATTATTACCGATTCTGTACGATGCAAATTATTCATATTATTCTATTGGTAGACGAAAAGTTTAGGATTCTTAAATGACCAATAAAAAAAATTCAATAGTTTTATTTTGCCATATATGAAAAATGTATAAAATAATTCTCTATCGGGAGAGATAACCCAATATTTATCAAAATATTATCATTAATATTTATGTACACTTTTGAAATATATTATTAAAGATCATCGATCATTATAATAAAAAGCCTCAGTGCGGTATTAAAAAAAAAAAAATGTATGAAAAAACTTTTGAGGGCGTCCTTTCGCCCACTATCTTGGATCCGCGCCTAAGTTATAATAATATTGTCGTGTTTATTTTAATTTTATCACGTATAATTAATAATAATAGTTATTTAAGCACTGTTACTTACTATTATTTATGGCATCAAATAAATTGTTTTTTATGTTTTATAAACACCAACATAACAATGTAACATAACAGTCGACAATTTTTTCTCGTCAAAAATTACAGATCGGTTATGTGCATAAATTATTAGTTTTTATTCAATATATGACAGAATTTTAGGACAAGTTCTTCAAGAGAAATATTTCAAATAAGCTTACACATTAATACACTTTTAGATAATTCAAAGTGTGCATTATGGATTTCACAACACGCTAAAAAATACCACTTAATTTATTTTTAGTTCAGTATGAATACTTCACATTATGCGGTTGCCAGTTGGCAATTTTCTAAAATGTTTGAATTAATTTATGTAAATTAAATACTGTTTTTTAGTACAAATTATTTAGAGTACATATTTTAAACAAACCATTGAGAAAGTAATTAAATATATACTTGGTAACAAATTCAACTTTATTAATTTAAATAAGTAGGTATGTATTTGTTGGTGAAAGTAGAAACTGATCAATCAATGAAACAACATTTGTATTTTTACTGAAATATAGTTAGAGTTTTGTTTTGTTATATTCCTTTTTACATAACACCTATGAACATTAGTAAGCATACTTTTAGGTCAAGAAAAAATACCATTACTGCCCCGAAATGTTTCCCTACGGCTCTGATACTACTCTAACAGTATATATATATATACTAGCTGAATTACCCGGCTTCGCCCGTGTGTAGTTTTTGCTTTCTCAAAATTAAATTTTTAAATCAACATACATTTTTGTGTTTTAAAGAAGAAAAAAATTTATTTTACTTAATGCTATCAGGTGCTAAATAGTAGTAGTTGCTGAATTATAAATAAAACAAAAAAAATAATAATATTTACAAATAACTCTTTACGTAGTTGCTCAATTCTAATATGGCTTAAGTCAAAACCTCTTGGTATACCACATTTTGAGATTTATTTTGTGGTGCATAAACGTATAAATGGTCAGGTCTTCCAACTCTAGACAATGGAACATGTGAAAAACAGTTATTTTCCAAATATACACCACAGTAAGTTAAAGTCTGACCTTGAGCTTTGTTTATTGTCATTGCAAAACAGACTTTTATTGGAAATTGAACTCTTCTAAACTTAACTGAAAAATCTTTGGGGTATAATAGTACTTTTGGTAAAAATATTTTTTTTTCCCTTAGCACATCCGTTCAAAATTTCAGTTTCAATTATATTTTTTATAAGAGAGATTACACGGAGCCTAGTCCCATTACATAATCTAGGAGAATTCAAATTTCTCAGTAATATGATTGGAACTCCCAACTTCAGTGATATTTTATGAAGAGGCATACTAGATGGTGTTTGTGAATTTAAAAACTCAGTAGGCAAATGTACCGATTCTTTACTATTAATAACTATCGATAGAAAAGTAATCCATTTCTAGTGCTTGAAGTTCACTAATTATTAACGAGTTTATTGAGTCAGCTCGGTTATTTGTGGTTATCAAAATAACGCGGTTTTCCATAATATGGAAATATATTATATTATATATATATAATTATAATTATGTATATATTATAATCCTACACAAGTCATGCAACCGTAATCGGTTTACTGCTATTGTTATTATTATATGAATATAGATATACAAATTACGAGTAAAAATTATTTTTACCGATTTCAACATTTTAAAATGAAAATTTTGAAAATCGGGTGACGTGGTGACATTTAGGAAGTTATTTGGAACAATTCTGTGAAAAAAAATTGGAATAAAGTTAAATAGCGTCGTCACAAAATGGGTACATAAAAAAGCCTGTTCTTTTATATATATATATAAAAGGATATATATATATATATATATATATATATAGTAATTGAATTTAAATTAGTATTGATAATGCTAAAAAATATCTTTCAAGATACGTAATATCGGTATTGTGCGACTCAACAATTAGTCGATCGCGAAGATGTCCTTGTATTCGCCCATGAATTGTTGCTGCACGAGAGGAATAATATTATGTTGTAAGAGAAGATTATTCGTCGTCCGGAGAGCGTGGGCGTGCGTGTCCGTGAGTTGTAAGGGGATACGTGTTCGAAATACACAACATCACGTCCACGGTATTAAAATATCATTACATATTCACCGTTAAGAACAGTGTTCGACGCTTCCTTTCTCCGTTACACGTCCGCGTGTCGTCGTTCCTACGCGCGTTGAAATTAACTCTGTACTCCCTTGTGTCCTTTGTCTCCCGACGACGCACACGCGACACGGCTCAACAACGGGCTTGCTAAGGTGCCGTTCAATCTGAAAAATCCGCGTGAATATTGTCCGCGTGCGATCGGATTTAAACGCGAAACCGTGTACCGGGTCGTGTACGTATGTTTTTCCACTACGTTCGAACCTCAAAAGTCTGGGATGTTATAATCATTTCCGAGATGGATTGTAACAAGTGAAATAGATTCATATTTAAACAAAACAAAAACAAGGTTGGTTGTTTGACGGGATGATCCTAATAGCCGGCTACCCGAAAAAGAAGAAAGTAGATTTATAAATTTCAACCGAAAAAAAACCTACTCGATAAATTATTTTTAATAACTATTTAGACTAATTACTCGTATACACAACTTTAAAACCGTTTCGATATTCATCAATTATTATTTAGTAATACTTAAAACTGTTTTTTATTTTTTTTTTTTTCTACATTCTAAATGCATTTACAAATATTACAATCTATATGTGCATGTAACACACTACACAAATAATATTAAGAATAAAAGAAAGAATATAAAATATTTTTGGTTTAAAGATTCGATAAATTAGAGCTTCTTCTCAAATAATAAGATTTTTGAATTGGAATACTGTTCCATTCCAGTAGTTATATTTTTAATAATTTAAAATTTATTTATAAACGTTAGGAATTTAAATTGCAGCAAATAATTGTTTTTTTAAGTATCCAGTAATAAAAAAATTAAAATAAACAAAACTGCTAAATTTCATTTCAAGACCATGCTCCTTTAAAAAATGGATATTTGTTAAAATAGATTTTTAATGGTAATTAATTTAACTGAATATCATGAATAGCTAATAGAACTAAAATATATTTTTGAAATAAACATATAATCAATATAAAATCTCGTACAATCATACAAATTTGAGTTATTGTTTCAAAATAAAATATTTTTGTCGGTGAAAACGAAAGAAAAAACCACAATAACCACGAGATAATTAAATTATAAACACGCATATTATACTATTAAGAAAATAAAAATATATGTAGTAGTTTAAACTAGCACAGTACACCAAAACGATTAAGAAAGGTGATTTAATATTATCATTATTCAAAAATTACAAATTTACAAAGTTTATTTCGGTAATTTATGTGTATTTAAAACTAAACGGTAAATATCAAACTAACCTTACCGCAGATGTATTTATTTTAAAAATTAATTTCATAATAACGTTTTTATAAATGATTGAGAATTTCAAGATTGGTTTAGGTTTTAAAAGCCATCGGGAATTTCGAGATTAGAGTAATGCCGTTAACTAACTTTATCATATAATAAAGAATAATGAACCTAAATATCATAATGTCGTCACATTAGGGAGCGCTCTGTGACATAATCTTTGAAGATTTAAAATATTACCCTAAAAGTAAGTACCTATCATCGGTGCCGCAACTTAAGGCCGCGTGTAAATAAAATCAATATCCCCCCCCCCCGAGTCCGTACTCTGTAGGAAAACTGTAACCTTTAATTAAATGTGACCAAACTATTTTGAATTTCGATTATACTGCTCGCAAAATACAATAATGCGTACAAAACAAAATCAATCAATTATTGTTCAATTTCTAAAAATAATTATTATTACAAAATGGTTTCACTATCTTGCATTCAACATATTTTTCAAATATTATCATTGAACCCTACTATAGGCTGGGGTTATGGGCCTGTGTATTTGACACACGTAACACACCCGGTTATTGTGGCACAGCCTATCATGCTCCGTCGCTTTCTGCGGATCAAACAGGAACAGGTGTTCCTAATCAAAACCAAAATGGTACGTGCCGGATTGAATTTCGTTTTCGTCCAACCGTGAAATTTTTAAAACATCACTCTGGACCGTTTATTATTGTACAACGCAGGGGACGATTTTTTTGTAAACGATCTGCATCTCCCGGATTCGACAAAACATGTCGTGCACATGTCCGGTCGGCGAGTAACACAAACACTGCGAGACGACGACCACCTGTTTTTGCATTCTCCCTCTCAGAGACCACAAATCACGAAAGGGTCTATCATGAGCACACGTTTATTATGGACTAAACGATTTATTGCGGGCGGAGGAAACTGACCAAAAGGTTTTCGTTTTACGCGATATCCCAACACGTTGTCAAAAAACGTTCCGATACAAAACGACACATGCACAGTTGTTACTAATTGTGCATTTCGCCGACGGAAACTAGGTTACATTACGACACCGTTCGTGTTCGTTGATACATTTTTGAAAACGAGTCAAATGTGATTTCGATCGCAAAACAATAGTACAAACGTACCTACCTGTCGAGTCGGATTCGATTTCGCTTGGTCGAAACACAGGTTTCCGAGGTTGGACGGGAAAACTTTGCCGAAAACAACGTCGTGCGCGAGTAGCCGATCGTAACCGCGTCGGCAGAAACAATAATCGTAAACATAAAAGAACTCCGACACAAAACAATATCGTACTGAACAACAACGATGTGAACGCGTCGCAGAAAAAGTCGTATTAATAATACATTGCGGACGATTATTCAGGTTGGATTTTCCGTTTTCCGATAAACCGGTCGTGTCTATCCCCGAGTACGCCGCGCGCGAAATCGGATATCAACAATCGCAACAGCCCGATAAGTCCAATGGTCGTTGGTTAATTAAAGACCCATTATAACTTGTAGTTAGCGCGCAAAGTACCTGCAATATTACTTATCTATAGTGAACTGTCATCGTTGATTATTTCGCGTTTCGGTCGTGCACCCGTCGTCATATATTTGAACATCGTTGCACGACCATCACGTAGACATCATAGGTTTAAAACGCGGTATAAAACACGGTTTAAAACACTGCGGTATAAAGTTCTGTCACGGCATTGGCATTGTGTTAATACCGTACAATACCGTTCACACATACACGGTTCGTACATTTCTGTTGAAATGCTGGCGGTGTCTGTTTAAAAGTATTAATGGTATTTTTTTTTTATATATTTATTCATTACTACAATTGTGTACGACTACAATGATAACTCGACAACACACTTCGCAAACCATATAACTGACCATGTTGCGCAACTAGCGCAAGCACTCGTACACAACTAGTGCAGTGCGGAAACCGTAAGAAAACCGCGTATGCGGGAAAAAGGCCTTGGAAGACATATGTCGTCAAGTCGTCACCGACGGCGCGGTGAATATATGGGGATTGCGATTTATATCGCTCGGGTATGTACAATATTATATTAGTGGCGTTTATATTTAGGTTGGAGACGTTCCGAGCACGTTCGAGAAATATATCGATAACGAATTATTTTTCGCTGCTGTAGGTTAGTTAAAATAAATAAATAACTAACCTAACCAAACCTTGTAGCGTTGTCTTAGTGTTATTCGTACGAACAAATTGCTGTTCAAAATGTACCGCATTATTATTTCGATGTGATCGAAGTCGCGCGAAATCAACAACGCGCGGTTAACCGATTCGTCTCGTGTGACGATCGCGGTTATTAATGTGTTCTTTTTCCCTTTAGAGGAGTATAAACGAGCAAGTTGAGATTCGTTACTGTGCAAACACAATTGTTTAGTGCAACACAATAAAAATGTTATTTCAGAAATTGGAAAAGGTGCTGCAAAAGTTGGTTTTGATTAACATCGCGAATCAACGGTTGTGTTGAGACGGTTTTATTAGGTCCCTTTATTAGGCCGAAAACCTATTTTCCTAATCACTTAAAATATTTTGTTTTTAATTTTTTTTAATGAAAAATTATGTGTTTCTGAGAAAAAAATATAAGAACATTAATTTTAGAAACATTTTTGTTCTACCATAAATGTAATTGGTATGTATTTTTACGGTAAAAGCTAAAATTTTAAACTCGAAAATTCATAAAACTATTCTCTTTGGTCATTTTTCTTCCTTCTTGAGGCACCTAAAGGGTTTTGAGTTATTATGACTAAATTATACCTAGATTTTTTCCATATTTATGAAAAAAATGGAAGGGGGTAGCAAATTTGAATTTCGAAAGTTAAAAATAAGGACCGCCCTAGTATATACGACATTAATGAAATAACGCTGTAAACTTTATGTATAAATCGATTATTCGTATGAGTTCCCGTTCTGTTCGTTCGTAATCCGATTTTGATGATGGAGAAAATTTGAAAATTAATTGATAGATAATATTTTGTTTAATCTTGTCGCGACGGGAAAGGAGTGATTTTTTTCCATAACTTCTCACCACTGACTATAATACACTCAGTCATTTATTATGGTTCATTTTAATAAATAAATAAAATTAGTAGTCCATATATTATAATATAATATTATTATTTATAGTTAAGTAAATTGATTTGATTTTTTTTTTATCGAAATAACATCCTGACTGAAATTTATCAACTCTTCACTTAAGCAATTTCCTAAATAATTTCGCATCAACTAATAATAATACTAGTATTTGATCATATACATTTATACTTTGAAAAAAGTTTTTCTAGAGTTTTCATGAAATAATTTTAAAATCAGTCATGTGTGATGTGACGTAAGGGCATAAAAAAAATTATAATTTTCAAAAAAAAAGCATATTTAATTATTTATATTATATTATTGTTATCAGTATAATAAAATATAAATATAATGCTCTTTTCGAAAAATGTATTATAATATTTATTTATTATAATTATTATAAAATATGAGTACAATTAGCGGAAACATAATAAACTCGTATCCGCTATAGCATAATTCGTAAAAAAATTGAATTGTAAATTTAAATAAAGTTAATGTGTGATAAGTTTGAAATTTTCATAATATTGGATCTTTTTTTGTATACGTAATCTGATTTTTGCGTTAGTACCTTACTCGTAATACATTTTGAAGTATTGTTTTTTGATTCTTTTCAGACGTATTTCGTTTCACGAACATTTTGCAGCACTACATTCATAAATGCATTAGGATGTATCTATAAGAGATTAAATGCGGCGTTAATAATATAATTGATTTTTGTACGTAATACGTATAAAAACCAATATATTTTCGAAATTGCTTCTTAAATATAGTTAAATTATGTAATACAATATCAATCTCACGAAACGATATTAACCCATAATTTAGATGATCTTTGAGATGACTGTTATTGTTCAAATCGAATTAATCATATATAATAGTGGAATCTGTAATATTTGATTCTTATTTTCTTGATCATCGATTTATCATACTATTCTTTTACTATCAATTTAATACGACTATTTAATTTTATTTTTTACTATATTCGATATTAAATTTTCACCGATTTTTAAGTTGCATTTATGGAATAATAACTGTTTATTTTAATATGTGTAAACCCCGTAGCACTCATATTTTATTGTTAGTTCTGGTTTTCAATTAAAGATCATATCTACGTAAATGGTTTCTTGATGTTTTTTGTTTGATATTTAAATACAAAAAAAAAATAAAAAAAATAGTTATTTTAAGAATAAAATATTTTATCATATTGTTTATAGATTTTTTTTTTAAATTTAAGTTCTTAAATAAATAATAAATAATTAAAAAGTAAACGTTTGTGTTTGAACATAAAATCGTAATAATAATGTTTACTGAAATTAGAATTAATATATTTAAATAAGTAATAATTATCAATTACTAATTTAATACAAAATAAACAACTCTTATTGTTTATTTTAAAATATCTTTATTACTTATAACTTTATAAGATCGAATAAAATATTATATAATTGAATAATTAAATTTGTACTATTATTGCAATTATATTTTTGTTATTGCGTTTTTCGTTTTTATTCTGCAGCTCAGTAACATATTTACTAAATATTACTACCAAGATTTATATTTTTATTACAAGTACGTTTGATTGAATAATAAATTATTACATCATATGGTTGAAATGGGTGTGTACAACTTCACAGACAGATAAACACAATCCATGTAATTTATAAGCTTGAATTTTGTGATTTAAATATGTTTGACGAAGTGAATAAAAAATATAAAAATTCAGATTTCATATAAAATACACTAAGTGGAATTGACGTAATACTTAGGTGTCATATCACAATAATTCCACTGCTCCTGTATTTAATATTTATAGAAAAAATTTTGAAATTCTGAACGACGAACGCGCATACTACACAAGATTTCTCAAGCACAGTTGCCTTGATGTCCGACGTTGTAAATCTGTTTCCAATATTAATATAAGAGGGTTTCAAAATTTTGCGCGTTGAGTCCATCTCCGCATTAGATTGTTACTTTATTGTTGTACAGCTACTGCAAATACCGACAGATGCAATTCGTTACTCGTTTTATATTGTTCAATTTGGTACGACGTGTTTGGCACGGTCGTGTAGACTTCTAGCGGTTATATACCGCGAATACACGTAATGTTAACGCATTTCTGGTTCCGATCAAGCGGTGTAACGCAGCACGGACTTTTGGTTATGGACGTAAAATGTTCTTCTTGGACCCGTGGTAAATTGATTACGCATAGGGACCAGGAAGTCTGGCTTGCTCGTAAACCATTTAATGTGCTCTTTTTCGTCGTGCCGATTCGTTTAACGTTGCATACAGCGCAATGCCGAGATTATGAATTATAATTCATTACGGTTGGCGAGCCTTATCACTGCTCGATTATTGCTCTTGAAAGTATTGCATTCCACAGAATGCACTGCCCGACAGAAACCAGAGTGACGCAGTGAATCTGCGACTGCGAAGACGACACTGAATACTTGATCCGACGACGCCTCCGCAGTCGCGCCATCAATTTTCGCAGCGAACCAACATAAAACCCATCATAACGCAGGGTCTCTTTAGATTAGTTCAAGAGATCGTTGAACTTATTATTGAATTATTGAAATATACTATAGTCGTTGATTTTTTTTTTTTTTACACTCGATCTAAACGAACGTTTCACAACAAGGATTTTAGCACGTGCGTTTCACATTAGAAAACTATAACTCTATATTGTTGTGTAAAAAACATCGACGTTGCGACACTGATAAATAACGTTATCACCGTTCGGGAATAGGTCAATTGTCGACCCAAAGCCTACAGGAAATAATGTTATGTAGTTTGTCCAACGAAAAGTAAATATTTCCCTAATCGATGTGCGGTAAAACATTTATAAACGGTGAAAACAAAAACAGTGGAAAATCTCATTATAATATTGAATATACATACAGTATTATCACGGGTATAAAAAAATTAAAAATAAGTAATCTAAAAATACGATACTAACGATATTTATTGATAAAAACGTCTTTGTGTGAACTCAGTACAGATAATACAACAAATGCTTAATAGCTAAAGTTATTAAATAAAATATATGATTAATTATGTTAATGACATGAATAAAAGTAAATTATATATGAATAAAATAAAGGTTTTAATCTGTTTGGGCTATTATTTAAAAAAATCAAAGTGATTTAAGGAATTATTTGTAGTTAGCATTCTATTAATCGGAGCAAAAATACTAAAATTCTGTCGGTAAATATTTGTGTAGAATGTTTGAGTTACGCGAGTATCTTAAGATTATAATGTCAGAAAATCGTAGTGTAATAAGTTATGAAACATACTTTTCAATACATTTATATTATATTTATTTTATTTTAAGAACTTAGAACAACATC